AAAAATACTAATAGAACAAAGTTACAATAGCAATGTTACTAAAAAAAAAGTAAAATTAAATGATTTAATTAATAAAAAGCCACATAAATACCAAACTAAACAAAGTATAGGTATTTCCAATATGGTTTTTCCTAGCCCTAAATATAAGACATTAACTCGTCATTTCTTTCAAATTTATTACCTGTATTAAGATGTTTCCATGAAAGGGAGTTTCAATGCCCCTAATTAAATAGAGTATTCTAGGAAAAACAATACATATTTATTACAAAATAATTAGCTTAACTAATTTTTTTAACATATGCAAATTAGTTATGCAATTCTTGTATTAAAGATTGGGAGGTGTATTACTGCCTATAAGAGCTATATAATTAATTCAAAAATATTAAGAAATTATTTAAGTTAGTTATTTATAACAAATAGGTAATTTTTTCACTAAAATACCCATATTAATCATGTTTAGTGAAACTACTCCTTAATGAAGACTTCTTAACATGTGCAATCGCCATAAGAATTACTTAGAATAAAATGGATCAATATTAAAAGTAAAATAGACTGAGATTTTATATTTAAAATTAAATTAAATCTCTAACTAATTTTTATATGAGTATGTATCCCCTGCTCAGTGTATCTCTAAATAGCACATGTTCATCCCCAAACCATAGCATTTGGGGGATGAGACCTCTTTTTTGGGGGATGAGACCCTCTTTCTTTCTTTAAAAAAAATATAACTTTTATTTTTTTTACTTAGAATAATAATTAGTGTATTTTAGAATTTTTCAATAACATCTAGTATCATAATTAATTAATTTCTAGCGCATTCAATCACCTGAACTATTTTTCAGTTACACCCACTATCATAAATTAATTATTTTTTAATATGTCTAATACCCTAGAGTATCTTTACAGTGGAACCCAGTATTATAAGTTAATTAATTTTTAATGTATTTAGCATCCTGAAATTTTTTAGTAACACTCGATATCCTAAATTAATTAGTTTTGACTGCATCTAGCTTTTGAAATATTGTTCTTGTTAAACCAAAATATTTTCTAGTAACACTCACTAACTGAAAAATACTTTGAATATATTAAAAATTAATTAATTTAGGATATTAAATGTTACTAAAAAAATATTTTAGAGTGTTAACTATAAATTAACTAAAATAAATAAAAAATTAAAGAAAAGAAGAAGGAAAAAAAGAGGAGAAAGCGGTATGAATGCAAGGTAACAATTTTTACTTCAAAATATCCGAGGTGAGAGCGAGACCAAACACAATTATACACCTCCTTCACTGGTGTGGATTGACAATTTGACCCAGACACACCCGAGGGCCACGGCAGGGCGCATTGACCGGCAAAGCGACGTTATTGAATGCAAGGTACTACAAATTTGGTGGAGTTGAATTCTCCACAAAGTGTCAAATATCATCACTATTTTCAGCTGATTGGATTGCTAGTCAGCCCCACTACAGCGATATCCACTGGTACCTGGGGCAATGCATTCGATGCCTGTACAATGAAAGTGGTCGACAACATCTTAAATACGATTATTTTCAATACAGCGACATTTGTTTTTTTTAAAAAAAATCATTCAATGCTTACAAAGAATTACCAACAGGTTAGGTCAAATGAAAGTAACTAGCTTCTTCCTAAAAAATCAAGGTTTGAATTTCTATTAGGATTAAGAGATTTATTTGTTTTATTTAATGCTCCATAAGGTCTTGAACATATTCAATGTAAGGGTAATTTAAATACTTTATATAGATTAAGAAAGTTAAATAATGATAGTTGGGATAAATTTGATATGATCTTTCTAAAATATCTTTATATAACATTAAATTATATATTGCTTTATAATTAGTTTAAAAATAATAAATATAAAAAATAAAATTAATTAAAGTTCTATATTTAAAACCGAGTTAACTTCTAACTACCTCATACATTTATTATTTAAAATAGGAGGAGTATCTTTCTCGTGCTTTCTGATTGTATTTATATGTATTCAAATGGAACATATCTGGTCTCTCCCCAGATCTGAGAGATGCAAATATATTTTTTTTTGATATAGCTTAAAGTATCCGTAAATCATTTTGGACTTGAAATTAATATATGTAAGGATGAAATGTTGAGATTAAAACCCTCCAAATATAAGATGCAAAGATTTTGAATAGCCTTGCATTTTCTTTTTCATAACTCATGCATCCATTATACTCTTCTGGTTTTATTTATAAAGCAAAAAAAAAGTTTTTTTTAGTCTATTTATAAGTCACTTTATTAAATTTTTAGTATGAATGTACTATTTTGCCCTTCATTTGTTATAAAGTAGATAATTATTTTTTAAAAAGTGTATATATTAAATATGGGTAAAATGAAAAAATTAATGCAGTTTAAGATTTTTTTCACTTGGAATAAAATAGGACCAGAGAAGTATATTCTATTAAAGGGTTGGATTTAATGTCACATTTAAGAAAGTCTTATACGAATAACATCCCAAAAAAGACTTAGATCTGTTTTTTGGGCCCAAAAAAATGCACTTGGATCTAAGTCACACAAAATTTCAGTCCAAAGAAAAAATTCACACAAAATTTGTTAAATTGTATAGTGTAAATTCAGTGTTCTTGACACGGCCTTAAATAGCGGGGCTTCTAACCGGAGTCCCTTTTTTTCTGGTCAAAAAAAAAAAAAACCGGAGACCCTTTTTTGGTAGCAAAAATAAAACAATTACTATTACTATTATTAAATTATATTGTAGAGGAGCCTTCTGTTGTATTTTTTTTTTGGGTAACAAAGAGGGCAAAAGCCTAACTAAAAATTAAAACGGGAGGGGATTAAATCCCAGTAAATCGTTTTTCATAACTATCTATAGATGTCACGGACATTGATCTAAGGTACCTGAATAAGAGAGACTTTCCTTTGATAACGCATCAGCAAATGATTTTTTGTCTCTGGAGATGTATCTCAACTGTAAGTCCCAACCAGAATCTTCATGTCCCTGATCCGCATAAACACCAAACTATAAGAGCCAAGTATAGAATTGCTCAATAGCATATCAATAAGGTTTTGGAGTCAGATGCAAGAATTATTTTCTTGAATCCCCTCTCCTGAGCTATTGAAAGATCTTTGGTACCATTTAATACGAAGTATTGAAAATAAGAGATTATGATTGAGATTAGAAAAATAGTATTTAGCATGAGGGATTGCTTATTACATAAGATTAGACAAACCCATCTATATGGGATTGGAAATACCATGGGGGAAGTAGTATTTCCAAATCCTACTTTCATGGGTTTACTTAATCTCATATAATAAACAATACTTATGCTAAAGACTTTTTTAATGATTTTTTTTAATAGTAATCTTAATCCCCATCTTTTATTGTTTTGTACCAAACGAGACCTTTAAGTATTGTCCATTCCTCAGCTTCCAAAGCATCACATATTCCTAATCTTTGTGCAAAACTTTTATCCATTCACCATTGTGATTTCTAAAGACACCCCCACATCTAGCTACTTGTCCAGTAGAAGACACAGCACGATCAACATTGATACACAGCACCGTCAACATTGATTTTAATCCAATCAACCAGAGGTGTTGCTGACTCATTAGTAACAAATAAGCTACCAACTGAAGCTAAATCATTAGCTATTACAAAGGATTTCCAAGATTTCAAAATCATATCAGCAGGATTTGTTTGCCTTTGGAAATGATCATTCATTCTAATGAATCTAAACGTTGAACCAACTTAGTATATTGGTAGGTCCAGCCCAATCATCAATATTGATTGGCCCAATAACATAAAATTGAGTTGCGGGATAGGTTAGGGTCAACCCAAGTTCTGCCCAACTCGATAAATGTTTATTGTCTTATATATTTTAAAATTTTCATAAATAATTATTAATTTTATAGAATTATTTTTTCTCTATACACACACACACATCATATTCACATGTAATAAGTTAAAGTTATGATTATGATAAAAAATTTTAAGAATTTAATCTTTTAGTTTTATTTAAGATTGTAACTGATTTCTAAGCTTAATAATATAAAAATATAATACCTAAGTATAGAATATTTATTATTTTAAAAGATGTTTCTTTTTATTTAATTTTTTTTGCTATATATAGGTATCATCTTATTAGAGGCAATTCTATTTGAGACATTGTCGGGCACTAAATATGTACACCTCTCCTAATTCATTGCATTTTGGATGTAAATAATTATATTTTTGTTAATAAATAAAATTAAGTTTTTTATTTTTAATAATTTCTCTAGGATTAAGCCAGACATGTTTTTGTTGATAAACAACCTTAGTCCTTGTAGTTGTAGACCCTTATCTAACCTCCTCCTTGAATGATCTTAAAAGAACACACTCCTGTCATAATTCTGCAATAAATGAACCAAAATTGATAAATGGAGACGTCCTTGTTCTAACCAATCGGGTTAATCCTTCTGAGTATGGAAGTTCTGTTGTGTGTGAATATTTTAAGAATAATTTTGACTCCACAGTCACCATACTTCACGCCATTCTTCATGCTCTTCTGTAGTTCTGTCCCTGCAAACTTCAAAAAGCCATTTTAACATCATAAATATGGCATTTTTCATGCTTTCTTATTTTAGTTTTCCAATTTCCTTTTCATTTTGCAGTAGCTTGAAATAGAAAAGAAATGAAAGCAAATTAACTAGACAAACCTTTCCTTTTCATGTTTTTGTTCCCTTCTCTATTCTCTCTCACTGTATGGCTTATCTTACCTTACCAATCCAATTGAAATTGCAGACAACCACAACTAGATGATGATGATGAGAAAGCAAGGTATAAACTTGCTATATATAAAAGTCAATTCAGTTTGCGTATTCATGTCATTCTATTTGTTCCAACCTTGACCTTGACAGAATAGACAAGGCTTCCCTTCTCTTCTCGTGGCCTCTTATTGTTTTTGTCACCAACATTATATTATATATTTATAGCTACCAATAACACATGTAAATTTGTTATTCCTTGTTTCCAATGGAATCTTCACTGCCTCTGGCTACTGATAGCTTTTCACACAGTTGGCTATCAGACTTCAAGCCTTCTGTGAACTGCCTTGAAGAGCCTCTCAGAGCTTCCATGAACTCTGAAGGTTTAATAATGGCGAAACCCCAGAGCTTTAACTTTGATTTTTCTGTCACTCTCTCACCATCTGCTGGTTTTGCTCATGCTGATGAGCTTTTCTCTGATGGCTTTATCAGACCTGTTTATGGTAATACTTCAAAGATAAGATCTTGCAATACTCCTGATTCTACACAAACCATGCCTAGTTCTTTCTTTTACTCAGGAATTGTCTCTCCAAGAGGTGTGGGGACTCATCATCATGGGTTCTTCACAAAGTGGAGAAAATCCACGCAGAAAATCTTGAGAAGCACCTTTGGGTATTTCAAGCAATTAGGGAGGAGAGTAGGGTGCTCGAGGGAAAGTACTAGAGTTGGTGACTTTGAGAAGACGGAGTGGGAAGTGAATAGTTGGAGCATTTCACAGCAAGCATCTCCAGTATCAGTTAAAGATTATTCTATGGGTGATCTGTTTGATCATGAGAACTCAATTCATGAAGCAGTCCTTCACTGTAAAAGATCAATAGGTATAATTATGCCTTTTCTTTTCCTTTGTTTGCCTTCCTAGATTTGTTGAAACTTGTCTGTTTATTCTCTCTTCTCATTTCCAGGAAAATAATCTTTCATCAGCAGATAAAGACGAGAATAGAGAAGAGAAGTGAAGTGGTTGCTCCAGATGTGCATGGAAGCTGCTCAGGCCTCCCCAACTTGATCTATATCTCTTCTGTCTTCTCTTGGATTTTACACATATCGGTCTGCTGAAAGAAGTTTTCTTAGATGTAGGAGTGAGTGAGGATATATAAAGTTTAATGGTACTCGCTGTACGCATTTTAGATGTAAGAATAACAATTTTTCAGCACTTTCCAAGCTCTAATCTTCGCTCTTAATTCTGAATAGTTCACAACAGTTTCTGTTAAGGACAACGTCAGATGTCAGGATTCAATTAATGAATCATGACAAGAGAAAGAATAGAAAAATATTTTCCTCATATGAGGGATCCTCATGAAATATCAGGTTGCCATGGATTACACTAAAGAGCCGTCAAAAAGATTCTCTGATTTAATGCCCTTGTAGAAACCTTCATTTCCCCCATTTTTAGACAAAATATTTAAGATAGTAGAGATGGTCCTCAATAAGGACGTACTTTTAGTATTTTGAAAAAAAAAAAAAAAATAACAGCAAACTTTATCTTATCAGGTGAAGTTAGATACAAGGATCTGGATCATATGGTGCTATTTGATTTTATCAACAACTAATTTCGAGTGCGCATATGTGTGTCATTCACCACCAAATTTCGTTCTATAGCTTTCTTATAATGATGATATATTCTTCTCTAGTTGTGAATGAAAGAAGGGAGCATTTGTAGTTAAACCAGATTCAAAAGTGAACTATCTTTTTAAACCATCGAATATTTGACAAAACTAAACCAATAGAATGATTCAATTTATTAAAAAACAATTAAGTCAATCATTAAAAAAATTGAAGCATTGAAGTGTATTGGAAATGAATCTCAAAGAGAAACATACATAACATCCACATTTTGACCATTTTTATTAAATTTGATCTACATATTTTCAGCAGCCACCAATCCTAAGGTCCCCCACCCAGCCCCGGGGGGGCGGCGGCGGGGGCCCAAAACAAAAAAATTCTGGCTGTTGAAACTAGCAAGATAGGAAGGGCAACGAGGGACATGCCATTCTTCTTGAAAGTTTGTTCCACCCTTGTGCATAATTAACCACTGGAAAGTGACACCGATTGTGAGTACGTTTCCCTCTTATTATTGCTTCCAAGTTTGCCTAACAAGTAAGGACAAAGTGTCGCTGCACTGCATTTACTTGTGCCCATAAACACTTTGCGCATCCTTCTCATTCTGGCATTTGTTCAAACATTCTCCAGACACTGATGGACCCATCCAAGACCACAACTTGCAACTATAATCAGATGAAGCTAATACTGTTCTCATATGATATCCAACAACGTGGGCCCTCCTGTGTGAATAACACGATTTGTTTTAGATTTAGTATTTCCTGTTTGATATTGTTATTGATAATCATGAGAAAAACAACTATAAATCTCTCTTGAAAAAACATGCTTGTCTGTTCCTGACTGATACTGCTATTGTTTATAGCTCAAACAGAATGGAAATTAACAATTCATGTGTAGCCAGAAAGAGAAAAGAATGAATCTTAAAGGATTAAGAAGAGGTTCAAGGAGAAATTTTTCAAATGAGTTAAAACCTAAAGTAACCTGGAATAAATTCATAGCCTTCAGTGTTATCTTTTTTTCACCTGAGGATACGAATACCTTGGATCTTCATTTGAAAAGTGCACAAGAGAGAGCAAAACCTGCGGCAAATTCAATTTCCCAACCACCCACGTGATGAACACGTGCATTTATCAGCAAATCTGGGAAGAGACAATGTCTTATGAGTTATGAGCCAATGGCCATGTTCTTCTGCAGCCTTTTAAGCTTCTTCAGGGGTGGACTCCTCGTGAAGGGTCGCGATTAGAAAACAACAACCTGGGACCATCTTCTTTCTCTTGATCAGTATGTGCTTTGCTCATACCGTTTTTATTGTCTCATCATAAAGATTCAGTTGTAGCACTTGATAAAGAAGGTTAAATTTGCTTGTTGCGGCTTTTTAAGACCAAAGGCAAAATGTTCTATGTCTTGACTTAAATCCAAACCAAAGGAATGTTCTGGATTGCTTATTGCCTTGGATTCTCACTGATTTTTTAACATCTTGTCCAATCACACTCGCATTCTTGTCCCTTCGATTGTTTTACCTATTTTGGCCGTAATCCGTTATTGATTATCTTAACATTGACTAGACTTCAAAAAATTAAGAGGTAAATTATTTGGTTAACTCTCATTGTGATTTGATTTTGATTTATACCTGGGAAGAATCTCACATTTTATTTTGATAATTAAAAATTAAACTTAGATAATATAGTCACGAAAATTTGAGTTATAATTTTTTTTTTTATGGATAAGTTATATGGGACATAATTGATGAGTTGATTCTGGTTTTAAATATAAAACTTATTTATCATATTTATTAATTTTTTTAAATTATTCTTATGGATACTTCTCTAATTATAATCAAGTATGAACTAAAAAAAGATGAGTATGATGTTTTAGAAAAACATGTTATATTTTTCATAATTAACTAACTTACATAACTTCTTTAATTTAACTAAATTAGGTAAATAGGTTTTATATTAAGAATCAGATAACTAGAATTTTAAAATTCTCCACTATATCATACTACCTCCGGTCCTAATTATAAGAACTAATTGACTAATTTAAGGAAATTAAGAAAATAAGTTAAGTTAGTTATTTGTAATAAATAAGTGTTGTCTTTCCTAAAATATTCTTACTAATTAGGTGTTAGTTAGAATTATCATTATTAAAAAGGATTACTTTGAAAAAATATATAAATATAAGAGATAAAATAAACCAGACTCTTATATTTAAAATCAAATAAAATTTTATTTTAAAGATAGACGGTAGTATATGGCTTGATGGCTTGACCATTTATCTTAAAGTCGTGTCATTCGTCAAAAGTATGCTCACTTACGCGGATAAATACCATCAAATATATATATATATATATATATATATATTTTACATATTTAAATTCAAGTTATGAGAATAAAGGAGTAAAAAGAAACGAAGTTGTGAAATACAATGAACAACAAATTGTCAGAAGTGGGATTTGAACCCACGCCCTCTCACGAGGACCAGAACTTGAGTCTGGCGCCTTAGACCACTCGGCCATCCTGACGTGGTTGGCCATGGGCGCACTTTATTAAGATCTTTTTATTACGTGACTTTTTCTCTGCAGTTCTCAGCATCCGAGCTCCTCTCGTTCAACTTCCTCGCTCCCTCCTCTCCCTTGTTCACTAACTGTTCTTACCGCCACGGGCGACCAAATCTCCTGGTGCAGGATCCCCACCACAACACCACATTGATTTCGGTTTTTTCGCGACACCTTAAGGTCAGTCTTTTAACTCTTTCTTTTCCTCTCTTCCTGCTGCTTTTCCTGTTTGTTTGGATCGTTAACGCTGGACCGCAGCGTCTTCCTATGCCTCTTTGACTGTTGTTCTCCCCTCTTCTCTGCCTATTGGTTTTTGCCTCTTTTCGGCCAAGGTGGAGCTGTTTTGTTGTTGCAATTCTGTTTGGCCTTCAATGATGCACAATTTGTAATTCGTTGTGATTTTTACTTGAAAGTTTTGTGTTTGACATTATTCTTGTTTAGAAAATGCTTCTCACTGTTTTCTTTTAATCGGGCAGAGTTGAACTACTTCAGAATCGCTAGACGGCACCTAAGGCCATGTAATAATATGAGAAATGCCCATATCAAGTCCTCGCCCCCATTTTTCTTAGAATAGGAAGTGTCACTTAATTTTAATAACTTTGCAAGTTAGTTTATGAAAAATTTTACTAATAAGCAATTCCATGTGTCACCGCATTTTCTTTAACATCTGATATTTAAATTGTAGTTTATATGTGCTTTTAATTAACATTTGAGGTACATTTGAATGATGCTCATTTACTCATATAGCCTTTTGCACTTGAACCTATATTTCTTTTATGATAAAATTTGGGGTAATCATTCTCAAGTTTGTCATTATCTCATGATTTGGTAGTTTGGTGTGCGGAAGTGGATATACCCTGGTGCTGATTTTGCTGTTTGCTTCTCTAAGTCATGAATCTACAAGTCAGCCTTGAAATATTTATTTAACCATCATCTCGAATCATTCACCTGTTTTGACAGTGCTCTTTGGATCTCTCTCTCTCTAAAAAATTCATATTTGATAAAGGCTACTGTCTAGTTTACACTAATATAAGGTTCGTCTTTTTTTTTTTTTTTCCAGTTGCTGTAATTGATATTTCTTAATATTATGATTTGCAGACTCCTAATCTCACTGAACACTGACAATGAATCCATTTTCTTCTCAATTGGCACAACCACCACCACCACCTCCTCCTTGGTTCCCATTGTTACCACCTGATCCGCCAAATTCAAGTGCTTTTTGGAATAACAGAAATGTTCGCAATCAGCTAAAAGAATTGCAAGATACTCTCAATCTTGCAAAGGCAATGTATGTTGTTGTTATATCACCTTGATTAATGCATGCTGTTTTTTATTATTTACCATGATTGAATGGCAATTCTGTAGGCAAAAGGAACTGGAGATGCTGATGATGATCAAAGAGGCCAAAGGGTCTGCAGAAGATGAAAAAGATGGGCCAGTTGAGTCTTCTGTATCTGAGTTTCAGAAATGTTTAGAAGACAGAAGGGTTAGTTTGGAAACTCAGGAATCACTGGCAGTTGAAGCAGCTAACTCTTTGATGTTAAAGCTAAGAGCTCAACTGGAGCCATTCCGATATGTTACAGATGAAACAAGTCCTTGGGAGGAGAAATCTGCCCCTGCTAGGCTTGAAAATAAATTGCAGAAGAGCAAAAGGAACAAAATCTGGAGGAAAAAGAAGCGGAAGCGCATTGCAGAAATGCTGGCAAAGGTTATTTTTTTGTTGGATTCTTAAGGCATTGCATTTTACATATACTTCACCTCTTCAATGCGGCCTCTGTTTTAAATTGCTAATCATTTGTATGTTGTAAACTCTAGGAGCGTGAGCAATTTGACCAAATTGACCGAGAAGCTGATGAATGGAGAGCAAAAGAGATTGCCAAGGACATTGCAAATAGAAAGGTAATTTAAATTTTTGTGAACTAAGCTGTCATTTTCCCTCTATCTGTAATCAAAAGTGAAATTTGTTTGGAGATTTTTTATGTAATTGCTAAATACTTCCATCAGTTTGCTCGTGTTTTATGATTTAAATATCTCCGCATGCAATTTAGTTTCTGTTAGGGTTGGATTGACTGACAGTAGATGAAGGCAGACAAATTTAACTTAAGGCTTTTCTAATGGTATAACGAGTTGGAAAAAATTATGGAGAAAACAAGCATAAACATCTGGTGCCACTGATTAGGCATGAGCAGTCTCATTGTAGGCAGAATCTGCCAACACATCTTTTGACTCCATAGATAAACTCGAATAACTATATAGAACTTATCATTATCTTATTTCCCTACCGTATTAGAAAAACCATATAGAATTTACCATTGTATTGTTCATATGCTTGTATATTTCCACTTTTAAGAGCAGTGCTAATTGAATACTCTTAGTTCGAGTGAAACTGCATATTTTGTGGCATTTGACTATGACCACGTGAGAATTTAAATTGCTTCGTTACGGTTGGTTATTGTCTTCCAGCTGCCTTGGAAACATGGGGCTGCAATGCTGCTGTTATTAGCATCTGACGCGTGTTTATTTGCAGGTGGAAAAGATGAAAGAAATCGCAAAGCTCAAAGCCAAAGAAGAGAAGAAGAAATTAGAGTCGGAGGTAAGTTCATTTACAGCTTAATCATATTCTTCTTGGCTAATTGGCAACTAAGACATTTCTCATTTCAGACTTCTGAAAACTTTCTAGGACTTGGCCACTTATTCTGCATAAAATTCCGTGATTGTTAGTTGCTTATATGATTACCCAGTGCTAATGAATTGTGCGGATTGATTTGCATTATGGTATATGTGATCCTTATCATTTTAGCCCATGTTCTTCTGCCGTCTTTTTATTCTCTTGTGCCATTATGATGATTTCAAAATTCAAACTGGCATTTCTTGTTCGTGCATATCAATTACTGTTCGTTGCTTTGTTGTCTTCCCAGCATCCATTGTGACGCCAGTGCTAATTTATTAAGATTAGAATTTTTGTTTTGTACAAAATTTCATGCTCGTCTATTTAACTTATGGTCTTCTTGTCATTGGTAACATATCATTGGTGGTAGTCTCACCTTTTGTTTTTAAGAATTTGAGGTTTCTATGATAATATAATCATATTCATGAATTTGCTCTGTACATGTACTTGTTCGGTCAATGTAGACCGCACATTCTTTTCCTTGCTTCTCCATCCATTCCTCCCTTTTATTGATAATCTCTTTTTACCATTGCTTTGTATCTCAGCTTGAACTACTCTTGATAGTGGAGAAGCTGCAAGAGTTGCGCTCCATCAGGATCCAAAAGTTGAAAAGACAAGGTATGATGACTGACTGTGGCTTTTCTTGCTTAGGTCAGCTGTAAGTATTTTTGTGTACATTTTCTGTGAAGGCTTTTAGGCTCATACAGTAGCTGAATGGTTCTTTTTTAATAAAAAATGCCTTAGATAATATCTACAACAAAAAAGTTTAATATTAATATGGAACCACATATTTTTAATTTCTTAGCGTATAAGCTTTCTATGTCAATTTTTTTTTAAATTGCCTTATCTATCATAATTGTTTATTTTACTGATAAATTCTGGGTTCGATAGAGATTATTATTCACACATGTAATATTTAGTAACAATTGGAAAAAATTGCATCATTTAATTATCATAATATTATGCTTTTTTAATTAAATATTTGTAGGCCACTTTCTTCCGGAGGAGGACAACAAGTTTCTTGAAAGGGTTCAAGCTGCAGTTGAGGAAGAGGAGCGCCAAGCTTTGGTGGCTGCTGATACAGATGCTGCTAGAGAAGCAATTGTGTCTGCAGAGGAATCCAGAAAATCGATTAAAAACCAAGGAGATTTATTAAAAGGTTCGAGCAATGATAATAGTGAGCTCCAGGAGAGCAGAGAGCAGAAAACTGAGGGTGAAGATGAAAAGGGCTTTGTTGAAGTTGATGAAAAGGAATCTAGTAAAAAAGGATCTGACGGACAAAGCAGTAGGGGAGCATATGATGATGTAGCTAACTTACCAATTGAGTTCTATCATTATTATCATGGCAGCAACAATGATATGGGCACACTTATTGAGGTAACTCTAATTACTTCCTCTGTAATTAAATTCTTCTGCATGGCTTTCAACGTAGCATCTCTCCTTTCTTTCTCAAATGTCTGTAATGAATGGCAATTTATGTTATCTTTTAGCACGAAGGCTGCAAGTTTTACTAAGCTGAATTGATAATAACCTTACATTAGAATCTGATGTTTGCACACGTTTGACTCGGACCATGCTGTAAGTTCCACATGATTATTAAAGCTTTTAAATAATCTCATGCAGGTTAGAAGAGGATGGGATGCTTATATCAGAGCAGGAGGAAGGTAAGAATAATTAGGTTATCCTGCTACCACTTTTGTTGTTAGTGAATATTCCCTCTGCTTCAAGCATAATTTGGGTTGCATTTTAAACTTGGAAGACAAATGGAGGATGGCATTGGGCCAAATTCATCAGTATGAATGATCTATGACCTAAATCACCACCACCTTTTACAACAGTGTTTAATTATAATGTTATCTGCCGGACTACATATCATTCTGTGCCACTGTCATGACCTTTATACCTATCACCAGAATTTCATTTTTCTGGAATGGAGTATTCAGATTCCGCAACACCATTGTTTCTTGCATTTTCTCCAGTATGCCTAACATCATTGAGTATAAGATGTCAAAAACTTATAGCGTGAAACACTGACACAAATATACCTACAAAAGATGAAGTACTACTTCCGGCCCTTAATATAAAATCTAATTTGTAGTTAAAACTAGACATTATAGTAAGGACTGGAGGTAATACTTAATATCTATATATCTATAAATCCTGTCAAAAGTCATGGCTTATAAATAGTGTTTTGATTTAATATATTTGTCTTGCATTGGTATTTTTGCGAATTGCAGAGACCCGCGGCCAGTCTTGCATGTAATTTTTATGTGTCTTGTTCTGTACGCAAAATGACTATTGGAATATATGTTGATGTGCCTTATAGATGAAGCTGATGTATTTGAATAGCTCATCTATTTGATCTGTTTCCTTATTTACTGCATCTTGGTGCAGCCGCATACCAGGTCACTGGGTTCAGCCTCCCCCTCCAGCCGATGACATATGGGCATCTTACTTGGTGAAGCCTTATTGAATGGATATATTTGGTTATTTTTGTTACTTAGTTACCTGTATTGTATATTACTTCCAATTCTGATGGGGTAAGATTCGGGAAATGTTCATGTTGGTTTCTAAAGTGAGGAGAGATCTAAGACGTTGGCAGAAAAAAAACAGATCTAAAGACAAACATTAGTGTAAATTTCATTTACATGGTGGTGCTTGTGAGTAAGCGTTGAATGTACAGGCACTGAAGAAGAATATTTAAGTCCATATCCACTCTATAATCGTTCATTGTTTCCTTACGCAGCCATCCTGATGTCATCTCATGTTATCTTTTGAGAAAATATTTCATAACTGTACGCAAAATGACTATTGGAATATATGTTGATGTGCCTTATAGATGAAGCTGATGTATTTGAATAGCTCATCTATTTGATCTGTTTCCTTATTTACTGCATCTTGGTGCAGCCGCATACCAGGTCACTGGGTTCAGCCTCCCCCTCCAGCCGATGACATATGGGCATCTTACTTGGTGAAGCCTTATTGAATGGATATATTTGGTTATTTTTGTTACTTAGTTACCTGTATTGTATATTACTTCCAATTCTGATGGGGTAAGATTCGGGAAATGTTCATGTTGGTTTCTAAAGTTGAGGAGAGATCTAAAGACGTTGGCAGAAAAAAACAGAGATCTAAAGACAAACATTAGTGTAAATTTCATTTACATGGTGGTGCTTGTGAGTAAGCGTTGAATGTACAGGCACTGAAGAAGAATATTTAAGTCCATATCCACTCTATAATCGTTCATTGTTTCATTACGCAGCCAATCCTGATGTCATCTCATGTTATCTTTTGAGAAAATATTTCATAAATTCTCTCAATTGTCTCTCTCTTTTAGTTGTTCTTCTTTAAGCTAACTTTGCAGCTTTTTAGCCAATTGCTTTATTTGTAGTTTAATGCGGAGAGACTTGGATAAATAAAATATGTTTGGTTGAAGTTTAATAAATATCTCTCTGAAATGTTCAAATGAAAAAAAGAAAGAAAAAATAAAGCAAAATATGACTCAATTGACGCAAGTGATATGCATTTCTTTTGCCTTTCTTAAAATAAATTATTTGAGATTTTATTTTCATCTGAGAGTGTGTGATTTCGAGGGGTTTATCTTTTGCTTTTAGTATTGCAAAGGATGTTAATCTTTCATCTCAACGAATGATTTTTTTTTTTTGTTGGACCAGAGCGAATGAATGATATGTTTAAAGAAAAAGAAAAACAAAGTATAAAATTGTACGCATTTTACATTTTTGTGTCTCTTACCACTTATATTCCAAAAAAAAAAAGGGTTAATTTTCCCAAAAAAATTGAGTTAAGTTTCTTATTTTCCTCATAAATGCAGAGGGTTTTATGTTCGCTAGACTTGAAAATTTTTGGATTTTTTTAAACTTTTTTAACATGTAAAAACCTTATGAATTAAACCAATTTAATTTTTCTATGGTATCCAAATTAAATAGTACTCTTTTTGTATTAAATATAAAATTTAAATAATTAATTTATAAATATTAAAATTAATTAAATTAGTTATTTATAATAAATATGTTTTATAAAATAAATTGAGATTAATACAGCTTACGTTTCAAGCTCTTTGCTATTTACGACCAAATAAAAAAGACATAAAAGAGAGAATGCTGATCTTCGACTTCAAGTGCCATCAAGTGTTGTTGTATAAGGCCACCACCTTGGAGGACAAACTAGAGTCTTCTCTAGCTCTTCCCTATTTCGTCTCTGTCAAGGTACCTTTGTTCTCTCCAAGTAGAACCTCTTTACTTCTCTGGCTTCAAATTCGCAATTTTTTTCCGCCGACGTTTCTCCTAATTCCATTTTACGACGGAATACTGCATAGTCGAGAATGTGCCTAATTCTTTTAATTTCCTTGGTTGGAGTTGATTCTCAGTCAACAAAGAAGAACTTCTAAAGGCATTCTGAATTGAGTTTGAGGGTTCTGTTTTGTTGAGAATCTAAGTGGCTAGTGTGGCTTATTTTCTCGCCTCATTTATGATTAGTTGAATGTCAGTCCATTGCAGATACTGTGCCTCAATGAATCAAAGCATAGTTCATCAAAGCTAATACTCGATATTTACGTGGCAAAGATTTTAATGTTTTTGCACTGGGTGTGCTATTGTCTATATAGCCATATACTAGATTTTTTTTTTTTTCATCTTTTACTTTTCCTGAATGTCTTTCGTGCGTACTAGGAGGTTGTGTTAGTCATTGCCCTATGTAAGACTTGGAGTTCGCCACTTAGAATAGTACAGTATTTTATTGTTGCTTTTTAGATATAATGTGCATGGTACCTGGCAATACTAATTTATAACACGGTTCTGTTCATTTTTTCAAGTGATCATTCTTCTGTGTAAAATCTGAGTGATTTGATTCAGTGGAGGAATTTCTACACTTTGTAAGCCTCATGTGTGCTTCCCAGCAATGGGGAAGGGTCTAGAGAATTGGTGCCCATCACGTTAGTTCATTTAACGTCTTATTTGTCGATGATGTCCTTTTGTGTGCCGTGATCAATTTTTCCTGTAAAATTTCAGGTGATGGAGCAGTCTGGAGTTATGGAAGCTCCCGGTTTAATATACGATAATGCACCTGCTGTGGTAACTACTGCAATAGGCCAAATGGTACATCTTTCAAACCTTTTTTGGGCTTTTTCTTCTTTACTTCTACACTTCCAAGTCATCTAAGTACCCCCAGCATCGATCATCATGAGTCATAACTTACTTTTAGATCACTGGCTTAAACACAACTTCTCCCATAAATTATTTCTTCTGTGGTCCTCGTCATTTCCTGCTTATCCATTTGTTTCTCTGTGGAGACATTAATTGGGGGATCATTGCATTGGCCTATTTAACTGCGTCCTTATTTAATTTAGATTGCATTCTAATAGAATCCAAGACATATATTTAGGGTGAGGGGGGGGGGGATGTTTACTAGGTAATATGAGCAGACATCTTAACACAAAACTGATAAAGCTGAGAATAATAGGTGCAAGGATCTTAAACGCATTATACTATAATAATCCAAAAAAGGGAGAATCTCCGGGTTTAATACAAAATACATCCCATGCTCTACTCTACCCTGCTATGCTCATATTGATACCAACAAGGTATTGGCTCATAACTCATAAGGTTGTGGGTTTGAATCCCTCTGCTGATGTGAGAACCTTGTTGATGAACGATCTATAAATACGTAAGTGCTCTTTGAGCTTGGAGGCATGAGCCTTTAGACCCAACTCACCTAAATTCTTTGTTCACCAAAAAAAACATATAACAGAAAATATAGATACAATAAATTAACTTCTACCAACAACCATAACCAAGTCTTATCCTCACTCTTAATATGCTACGTGCTGATCCATTCCTTCACCCATTCAACACATCATTCACCCCACATTATCCCATTATCCCTTGTCAATTTGCTATAAACGCACCTCTCTTGCAAATTCACCTTGTCCTGAAGGCAAGACAATTGGAACTGATCACATCATCTTCCCAATTTGCTTCTTTAGTTGGATGTTCCTTCCACGGAATCAGTAATTTGAATGAAGGACCAGATAGTTGTTTATGTGCAATTACTTGCAACTGATATCTATATCTATTCTAGAAAACCATAATTATGTGATTTCAATTATTGATTCCCTTGTCAAAACGAACTTGTCTCTCAACCCACTAGGAATGAGTCTTAAAAGGTAGAACGGAGGTGACTTTGCAGTGTGTACAGTGGGCACTGGTTGGGTCAGAAACGCACTTGTTCATGACGCCAGGGAGCTTGACAAAAAACCTCTAATGCCATGAATTGGTCACAAAGAAGAATTGAGCTAAGATTGTGATCTTGAATCTGAAGCTTTAGGTCCACGAGTGGACAAGATCTTGAATCCATACTCTGCTTCTAAACTCACTGCCTTATGGCCTTGTTGACGTCATCTTGAATAAAAGAATTCCGTGGTTGATGTTGACACTAGCTGAGGAGTAATAGACATTGTTGCTCCTGGAAGGATTTTTAAAACATCTGCTTCCTCCTTAGCCTTTGGTAGCATTTCCCCATCATTTGTTATTTCCCTTAAAAAAGAGTTGACTGGTCTTGCAATAGTTTCCTGACATAAACATCTCGACTTCTCTTGGAGTGATTTTGGTGCCTTCTGACTCTGATATGGGCTCATTTGTCTTCACTTTGTCATTGGGAATTTCCATTAGCAAGCAGGAGCTATGTTGAGCCCTTTATCATGACATGTTCGGTGTTGAAAGTTCTGGGGGTGTGAGACAGTTATTTGGGTGGTAGGCTGTAGCAGGTTTGGCGTTGCTGGTAAAGGCACTTGTAAGACCGGTCCGCTGGATGAAACGCAAGCTTCTCACGCATTCCAGCTAGGAGTGTTGGGCTTGACTTGAGATGTTAATTGCAGACTTTAAATATGGAATTGGATGAAACGCAAGCTTCTCAGAAGCACTTTTCTGCAAATTGAGATAAACTCCTCCACATATTTACCTCGTAGACCGTAAAATCACTTCTGAAACCATAGCTTGGTTTCCATCCAAACACCCCTTTAATACTATTTGTGCTGATCTGGTTTGGGCTTTTAGTGTTGCAATATCAGTTACTAAATATCACCGTGAATATCAATGCAAGAGGAGACATAAGATGATTGTTATAATATATAATCAGTTGAAGAATCGTATGATGACATGGCAGGTGAGATACTGGGTTATGAGGAATGATCCCAGTTATAAGAATATGATTATTCTTTATTCTGTGAAAATTTGTATTTCATGTTATGTTTAAAATCTCATAAATGTTTAAAAACGGGTTCTTCATATAAGTTGCTATTTACAATGTGACCAGCGGCCATTTTCGTGCGCATTAATTTCTGGAAGAAAAACAATAATGTCTTCAGTATCCATGCTCACTATTTTTGGCGAGAGCCTGATACGCTTTTATGTTCCCCGCTCACTCATCTTCATCATGTGTTATCATTTTTAGGCAATTTCTAAAGGACGGCAAGGAAGGGAAGCACAAAATATCGTGAAAGTATGTTTATCTTTTGGCTGAACTGTTCATGAATGTTGCAAACGGCAATTTGACATGGTTCCTTTCTTCAGGTGTATTTGGCTAATCTGCGTCTTAAGGGAGTTGGCACTGATGTCCTAATCACTGCATATGAACCCATTGTTATAAAGTAAGTGTGAGGATTTTTTTTTTTTTACTAGAAAACTACACATATAATTCTCTTGCTACTGGATTCCATATTTATGTTGTTGGATAAATATGTTGAGTTGGATATATGATAATGCAATATTGCCTCAAGTGCTGGTAGGTAACATCTACAATTCAGTATTTTCCTTGGACGTACTTCAAAAAGCAATTGAGTAGATTAATTAAGGTTTACCATATGGGGCACATAAGTGGAAGGGAAGCCCATATTAGTTAAAGAAATAACTAATTATTTGCGATTTTCCCGCTTTCTTGTGACTACGTGGAAGCTTTAAAATATCATAGACACTTGTGCATTACTTTTTTTGTTGCAGTCCCTTGAGCGAAAGTGCTGGCACGGTTGGTGCCGGCTTAGCTGTTCCTGCTGTGCAAGTTGGATGTTTGCCCATGGCCGAGGTCTTCAAGCGTGCTGTTGAAAGCTTCAAGGTTTATGACTGGGGTCTTTTTGGCGTATGATCCTGGGTTTTGATAGGTGTTGAGAGTGTAGGAACATAGCTACAGGACTAAAATTTTAGGTACTATTCCCAATATTTCCCATATAAATCCCTTATTGATTTTCTTTTAGACCCTTCTTATTTTAACGGATTATATCATGGTTGTGAATCTGGTAACTTTGAAAGTAATTTAGCTGCTCTTAATGAATATTGCTGTCTTTTGAAGCACAGCTAACTGGTTTGTGCATGATAGGTGTATTATTGAATCTGTTCATAGACAACTTGAGTCCTTGCTGAAATGAACAGGGCATTATTTTGCTTGTCCTTTTGTTTCATGCGTAAACATCATATTTTGGCCTTAAAAGTGTGAAATCACTTACATGACAAGCATTGTCTTTTGACGTAAATGTTGCCATTTGCTAATCATGCTCCTTGAACCGTATAGCTTTCTCTCTGTTGAGAACATAAATTGGACCTGTCTCCCTTGAGAGGTGCATCTCTCCTGTGAGTTGAAAGAGGCATATTTGTATACACCCAGAGTCAAGTGGGTATTGTTACTTATGCTGCAGTAAATGCATCTCATTAAAGTTGTAATTCTTCTGATGAAAATTCAGCTTGCATGAGTTTATCAGTTTTTCGTTTTGGTATTCAAGTGTTTGGATGAGTTGTATCTTAAATCTTATCAAAGATGATTTGGTCTTGTTTGGAAACTAGTGAAACCAAGCTATTTTGTGCTTTACAAGACAAAATTATATAAAATACTTAAAAATAAATTAATCCAACCGACGACTCAAAAGACATTTTGTATAATATTTTTAGATGATTCATGAGCAAAATACAGATTTTTCGAACCTGCGACTTCCTCCTTTCAAGGAGGATTTACATTGCATCATGACATCCTGTCATTGTCTAATTTTTATTACCTCTGGTCCTAATTATAAGATCTTGTTTGTAGACTACAAATGAGGTCTTATAATTAAAACTGAAAGTACATGAATTCAACAGATTTTGGGCCCGTTTAGAATAGCTTATAAGTGGTTTATAAGTAGTTTTTTTATAATGATTTATAAAATACGAAACAAGTATGCGAGAAGAGTTTTGTCTTAATTTACATAGAATGTGTTTATAGAAAATTTCTACCATAGTCCCACCAGGCACTCTTATGGATTGGAAATTCTCCTATGGGAAACCAAATTTTTTTTCAATACAAGGACTGTGCAGCAGCTACTGCAAGTGGCCAATCCACTGAAGAAGAGTCAACCACGTGGCAACAGGCACTCAAACAAGTTTGAAAATCATGCATTATGTGGGGCCAACCCCAAAAAAATTACACTACGATATGGATGTCTTCATAGGACACATGTTTTCACACATTGTGACTGTAGGAAAGCTGCTGGAAATTATTGGTGAGCAATCAACATCAAATCATTGCTCAATCTTTTACAGACAGTTATTGCCACATGGCCACGGGATTAAACATAACACTATTTCTCTTTTTAAAAACCAATTAAATTCTTCTGCTTCTGTAGAGCCGTGGAGACTTTATTTGGGACATGATACATCTGTCCACAATAGACCAATCAGTTTCGTGACTCGTTATGAGGGAAAGCAGCTTTATCTTCATCGAAAAGAAGAAAAATTTATAAAGAACCTATGCAGATTGAATACGCTTAATTCCCCATACCGACCTGCTTTGTTAATGGGAAACTTCCTCTACTTCTGTCCATGCTTCGAATGTTCCCATCTCTTTGATTTTGGTATAAAAGAGAAGCACGTTTTTATAGAACTATCTAACTATGTTGATTAAATTAAAAAAGTCAGGTAAACTAGTTAATTATAAAATATATGACATATTTGTTTTAAAATATCATAATCATCTTCCTTAATATCGTTCTTCCCTCTCTTACTTAATTATGATTGAGAGAGAACAATATAAGTAATTTAAAAAAATTAATAAATATAAGAAATAGATCTTATATTGAGAATCAAAATCAACTCAATAATTAAGTTATATTAAGAATTGGAGGAGTATTTAGGGCTAGAGGTAGTGAGATCTTGTATTTATGATATAATTCAACCAAAATCAACTTTTAGTAAGAAATATTTTCAGAAAAAAGTTTATTTTTATGTCTGGTTCATATCTGAGGAAACTGATACGCATCATCTGGACAGACATCAAAATTGAAGCATTTGTTGTTATTCTGGTTTGATTAAACCATTGATATAGATCAAAAACTGGTCAAATCAATTTGAAAAAAAAAATCTTACAACTCAGGCAATTTGATATTCAACGTGCTCAGATTTCTGATTTATTGTGGTCTCAAATTAAAGTTACGAAATTTTGCAGTAAAACATTTCAACTACTTTCAAAACTTTCAGATATCTATATTTGTTGAAGTAGCTATTATTCATATAAAAATTATAAAAATCAAAATATAAACTGATTTGATCAGAAGATTATTCAAAATGAAGGAAACTGGTGTCCATATACTGCCGCAAAAGAGGAAATCAGTAGAATTGTCTGAAAGATATTGTGGAAATTGGGATTGAGATATGACAGCTTTTGCTATTATTATTATTATTATTATTGCCCACTACATATATATCATTCAAAGTAAGATGACTAGTTTGTCACTTTACCACCTACTTTCTAACTTTAAAAGACATTTTTAAAAGGACATCACTTCACTACGTCTACAATTCAAACATCTTTGACTTAGTTGGCTTTCCTGAGTGAAATCTAACCCTAATCAATTCATCTCTTCCATTCAATCCAACTAACATTGGACACAAAAGGCACTAATCAATAAAGTTTGAGCATCTTTTTCTGGTGAAATCAAGGGTATATATAAACCCAACAAGAACAAAAGAGAACCAGAACTGCATAGCTGATAGCTCATCATCAAGGTTCAAGCAGCTCATCAATCCTTTATGAACAGAACTTTAATCTCAAGGAATCGGATTTATTTAGAAGCGCTTTGATACAAAATCATATGATCTCCAACAAAAGAAAGGATATGTTATTGAAGTTGGAGGAGGCAAAACATTACAAGTATTGGTACGTAAGTTGGATGAGAGTAATTAATATTGAAGCAGAGAGTCGTTGCCATGGCGAAGAGGCAAAGCCATATGTGTGTGTGTGTGTGTGTGTGTGTGTGTGTGTGTGTGTGTAAAAGAGAGGTAGTAAAGATGTAAAGAGAAAGGAACAGAAAATGAATGAAGAAGTGAATAATTAAAAACACAAAGGTTTGACTCATTTATCGTCCTTAACGGTGTTGGACTTCACCACGTCGACACCACCTTACAGCTCTCATTCCTCTGTCCCACTGAATTCATATTCACCACAACAGGAAGACAGGATTTTTTCTTTCCGGTCAATGTATTGAATATTTTGTTAAGAGAGGGTATTTTTTTTTTAAAAGAAAGCACCTATTTTTATTTAATTAATTTCATTAATATATGTGAATTAATTATATAATTTTTGTATTTTAAGTAATATAGAGTATATATTTTCAATGTTGGAGGAAATTAAGTTTTAAAAAAATGAATGAAAGAAATCCTTTATTAAAGGTGATGTAGTTCGTTCGATTCGATTCTAAAGTAGAACTAACTAATAAGAAGTAGTTGAATTTCTTATATTTGTTTGAAAATTAAAAATTGGTGTTTTCGTGATTTTTAAGTGGTAAATTTGTCATTTCAGTTTTTTTTTTAGGGAAAAAAATGAAATGGGGAAGAGAAGAGAAGAGAAGAGAAGAGGTTGTACCATATGAATGCATTACTTTTAGTGCAGCGCAGTGGAGGGGGCAGAGCTACATTATGGACATCAAAAGAAGGGCCTTTCATTATTGTGCTCTCTCATTCATTATGATCCTCCCACCACCTCTCTCTTTTTTCCTTTTCTTTTTTTTTTTTAATTCTCAAAAGTTGCACTTTTTCCTTATTATATTCTTTGGTAAACTATTGCTATCTGGCATTCCCAATTTTATTTTCAGGTTGCCGTTGATGTTATTTTTCTGTTATTTTTAACACCCTAATTTTATTTGAGATTAATATAATTTTTGATTCCTCAAATTTTTTCTCATTTTGGTTTTGATTCCTCCAATTTCAAATCATAAATTTTAGTCCTTTTAAGGGATAAAATGGTCTAGGTTTTTATTGCATTATAGGGAGTAATGTTTTAAATAAAAAAAATTTGAGGGATTAAAACTTATAATTTAAAATTTGATGGACTAAAACCAAAATAAAAATAAATTTGAGGGATCAAAGTTTGTATTAACCTTTTTTAAAATCATAAATAAGATTAAAATACTAGATATAATTGAAAAATAACTTCCAGAGATGCTGAATGCATTAAGAAAATAACATCAAATGTACTATAAATAAAATTAGAGTTGGAGAAAGAACTCAAATACTTACTGAAACTTGCAACACACAATTTCATAATTAAGTAAAATTTAAGAAGTTACTACTTAATATTACTTGACTTGAGTCAACCATGGCAACTAAATTAATAAGGATGCAATTTTTTTTGCCAGCCATAAGGATGCAATTTACACTTTGCAAGAGGCATGAATTTTCTTATTAATATGAAAAAAACTTGCTAGTAACATATAAATATTTCTAAGGAGAGTTGTAATAAGGTCTCAAGAATAAAAATAATTACTAAAAAATTTTAATAACAACTTAATCAGTTTGTAATGACAAATTTTGAAATAAAAAATAATAATTTCTAAAACTTATTTTATAATTATTTTTCTTTTAAAAAATTTATTGTGGGTGTCTCATATTTCTAGTATATCTTGCATAACGTAACTTGTCTATTTTTTTTATTAAAAAAAAAAAACAAACAGAACAACTCCTTTTCTTTCTCTTTTTTTTTTGGCCAGCCAACTCTTTTTCTTTATTGGGATTGAGAATTCTGCAATTCCAAGCTGTCATTCCGTCTTTTCATTTTCCGCTACCCGATCGAATTACCCTTCGTCTTCGTCAACCATCGTATACAAAAGTCACCATCTTCATTTTTCCAAAACACCATTTTATGGGTAGATTTTTTTTTTATTTTATGCAAGACTGATTGATGATGATATTTTTTAGTTATGAGAATATTTACTATTATAAATAAATGTATATACTGGGAAAAGCCCATGACCCTAATAATTATGTGAAAAATGAGGAGGTGGCGTATGGTGCAGCTAACTTAAAAATGATTGAAAATGCAATCTCAATAGTGAGATGATAAGATTTTTTTTTTTTTTTAAAAAAAAGAAGAAGATAGAATCAAACACAAAAATCGAAGTTAGATTTGGAGGTTTGAAAATGAAGATA